CTTAGGAGTTAAAAATGCCCTTGTTATTTTGCAAGCGCCCAATCGTGCCATCAGATGTAAAATTCCAATGCATTGTTTGCGTTTCTTTTTCCTCCTTGGAAAGATTGCATTGGATAGAATGAGGCCCTTTTTTGCATGTACTTTCAAGTGATTCTTTTAGGAGAGAAGTATATTTTTGCAATAAAAAACACATTGTTTGATTATAGGCTATGAACATAGCATTGCCTAATCAAAATAACATTTCTCAAATGCATTCAACTAGTATAACATTGTCATTTACTTGGCACCTTCAACTCCACCTTTATTCAAAGCCATATATTATCAATGTTTTTAGTTCTCACCTTCTCTATCAGTGGCTGTTTCTCAGCTAATGGGCTGAAGGGGAAAAACAATAATAATGCTGGGCCTTTCTTCAGTTCATTGTTTAGGAGAAGGCTCTTGCTTCCATGCGGTCGCAACCAGTGTATAAAGGTCTCCCGGTTCTCAAAAGCCCAGCTGTAGATATTTACCGCGGTGACGTTTAAAACCTCGTGAGGAAATATCTACAATAGGAGAATAAACCAAAGTTTCAGGATGTTATAGCAGTTACTTTACAAAAAAAAAGAGAAAAAAACTCAAATGGCCAAAACTACATTTTAAAGAAACAGAAACTGACAATGCACTTCCTTGCAGCGCAGAAAAGACTGAAACCTATTTATACGGCATTCTTATTTTCTCTCATCCTTCAGGTCACAAACAAATCCTCAGCGGATTTATTCTCCACTTTCCATCAAAGATGAGCCTAAAACCAGGATTGGTAAAAAGACCACACCAGGAAGCTCTCATCCACCAGTCTTTCCAGACTCTCGAGGGTAACATATCCCAACTCACCTTGCAAGTAGATCCATGTTCTACCAATCAATCAGTCACTACATGCGAGAAAGAAACTATGCTGGAAAGGCATCAATTTTCTATCCTAGACCGTCAAAACAGGCTGTTTGACACAGATAGTTCAAATTGCTGCTCATCCTTTATGTGATAGTATGCCCAATTCATGTTTCCATTATTTCTTTTTCATCTACCTGATCTCTCTCTCCTTTATTCTTTCACCCCCCTTTATCTTGGAAGGGAGTGGCATGCTCAGTCATTTCAGAGGACAATTAAGAGCCAACCACACTGCTGCGTAATGGGGATCACAATAGACCAGACCAGGTCACAACAACATATTTCCTTCTAGAAAGGATATTAGTGAATGAGATAGGCTTTTACAACACTGATAATAGTCTAACGGTCACCATTACTAAGACTAGCTTTTACTCAATTAATTCATAAATCTGGAAATGGTGTTCCACTGCTACCCAAGTGGGGTTTGAACTTTTAGCCCCACAGCTTTTGGATTAATAGTCTAGTGATATTACCACTAACTGACCACATCCCCCATTCTAAAACGTTACGACAAGCTCCTCTTCAATTTAGCCATATCTAATCTTACAAAGTTTTGAAAGCAATATATCACAAATTATTTCTACAGAATTACAGCTATAGATAAAATACATATAAATAAAACCAAAGACTGGCTATAAGTTATCACTTACTATGGAAGAGTTGAAATGCCTATGCATATAAATTGTTCCAGGATTGGTTACAGATATCTTTTCTGCCACCTGTTTGCTGGTTATCACCCCAAAACGAATGGTTCCTTGATAATCTGAAATCACAAGAATGTCCTTGTATAAAATAGATCTCAAAAATTCATTCAACAATATCTTAGGATTAGAACATCCAATGTAATAGAACCATACTTTCACATTGAGATTCCCAGTTACAATGAATAGGTTAGAGATACCACTGTTTTAACTTGCTGGTTAGATGGGCTGAACAGTGGCGAATAGAATCTAATCGTGAAAAAAAAATGAAGTGCATTTACGGAGAACTAACAAAGCAAGACAGCAACTTTGAATGGTAAGGACCATTGGAAGTAGACAGTATCATAAGGACCACAGCGTGCACGTCCGTAGATCCTTGAAGACAGCCGAATAGGTAGACAAGGTGGTTAAGAAAGCATATTGAATATTGCCTTGACTAATAAAAGCAAATGAACAGAAAAGCCAAGGAGGTTATGATGGAGCAGTATATAAAATGTTAGTTGGGTTATCGCTGGAGTTCTGAGTGTCACATTATAGGATTGACATGATTACACTTGAGTTGGTGCTGAAGGGATTCACCAGCATGCTGTCTGGGCTGGAGCAATTCAGCTATGAATGAAGACTAAACAGGCCAGGCTTGTTTTCCTTACAGCAGAGAGGGCTGAAGGAGGATCTGATTGATGTGCACATAGTTCTGATGGGCATTGACAGAATGGATTGAAAGAACCTTTTTCTCCTTTTAGTAGAGGGAATAACCAAGGGGCAGAGGTTTGAAGTAAGGAGCTGGTGGTTCAGAGGGGTTTTAAGGAAAAGAGCTTTCACCCAGAGGGATGTGGGTATCTGGAACTCACCTGTCTGAAAAGGTGAAATGGGCAGGAGCCGTCAGAAATCTTAACTATTCAGACGAACACCTGAAACACCACAGCATTCAAGGCTACGGTCCAAGTGCTGGAAAATGGGATGAGAATGGGATGACTAACACGGTCACAATGGGCCAAAGGACCTCTTTCGACGTTGTAAAAGCTCTATGACAATGTTTTAAAAATCAAAAGCACACACAACCCCAAACCCTGAAAAAGGGGAGTTATGGAAACTGATGAGATATTTTATGCACATCACCTAGCTTCCCAGAAAAAAACCAAAATCAATAAAGATATTTTAGATTGCAATATTAAATACTAATCAAGCAACTTTATTGTCAGATCAGAAAGCCACCTTTATTCAACTAAACAAAATATGCTGTGGTAACATCGTATAATTTTAACAAAATATCTTAAGAGATTTTAAACAATAAAACCTGACACTTAGCCATCATTAATTGGCAGTACTAAAACAGAGATCAATTAGCATAATGACATATCAAGCATAATGACTTTAAACACAATGAACTCAGTGTAATTCTAGCTGACATGACATTTTAGACATTAGCACAAAGTATTCATAAAAGGAACTTGCAAATTCCATGCATATCCACTGTAGCGTGTAATGCTCTGCTTTAAATGAGAATTCAGAATGAGTGCACATGCCCATTCTATTGATGTCTATCTGATCTGTACCACAAGTACAATGGAATTAAACAGATTGACTATGCATGTAGTCACTGAAAAGTTTGCCATACTGTAGAAAAGTGAATAAGCTCTCAACGTCAAAAGAGTATTGCCAGCATATAGAGGCAGGTTGAGAGTTCAACTTGTCTGAAGTCAAAATCAAAAATGACAGCTGTGTTTAAAATTGTTGACTCCATTATTCTCTGCAGCGAAAAGGAAATCTTTTAAACACCACATTTTTAATGCATTTCATTGATGATGCAAATTTAAGTGATCAAATTCCAATTAAAGTAAGCATATATTCAAAATAAACTAAATAGTAAATGTTAACTTTTCAATTTTCTCCTCTATATTCCTCAAGGTGTTAAAAGATCAACAACCATGCATATTCCTTTTGCAAGGGTACATGAAGCTCAGAAGAAACACTTGTTTTCCTCATTGAAGTAAACACCACCAAACTGGCTTTTATTAATGCTGTCAAATAAATAACACCATGCTTCATCGTAATGTTAAAGCATGCTGGTATTTCAACCTTAAATCAATGCAATGTGTCCAGAAAAGCATATTTATTTTGTCCTTTCACAGTTCTGAAGGTGGAAAATCGCATGCATCTCCAATACAACAGCAAAAGTTTTTTGGCTTCCTTCAAACAGATTTAACACTTTAGTGAGATTATATTTTTAAATTAAAATATTTTTCCCCTACCTAGATATGAATTTATCTTTACAATCCTCTATTTCAGTTTCTGATCATCCTGCCTACTGTTTTACTTCCTTCTGAGAAGGCAGGACGGGACCACTATGGTCCTAGTTATGCAAACTGTCGTGTTATTAGTGTTGGTGTTTTCCAGCTTTTCTTCTCTACTTTTCTGAAAGTGTTAAATTTTCTTTCGGCACCTTGCCCAAGATTCTGAGTAGCAATATTCACCACTTAGATTTGCAAATGAAGACTGAAGAGAACCTGAACTCTCACCCAATGCCCACGTTCTGCAGCAAGATCATAGAATAGTGGTCAAAAACACAAGACCATGCCTTTTAAACAAGGGTGACAAGACCAACTGTCTTGTGTCAAATAATACCACAGCAGGATTAGTCAAGTTGTCACAAACCAGGAACTGAAGCCAAGTGTTCTATTACAGAATCACATAAGTGTTACGGCACAGGAGCTCATTCAGCTCTTTGTGCCCGTACTAGCTCTTTAAATAAGCATTACCAATGCAAATCTTCTGCATTCTTCTCCCACGCACTAGCACACTATTCCTATCTAGATAATCATCCAATACCCTACTGAACCTGCCTCCACCAAACTTTCAGTCAGTGCATTCCAAAACCTAACTACTCTCAGACTGGAAAGGTCTTTCCTAACTGCACCCTTGCTTCTTTTGCAGATAGAATTTAAATTCTATGTCTTTTATTCTTTTCAGCAGCTCCAACAATTTGTCCCTATCTACTCTATCCAGTCAACTCTCAATTTTGAGAATGTCTATCAGAACTCCTCTTATCCTTTTTTAACAAAAAGAATCCCTACAGTTGGAAAAGGCCCTTCGGCCCAACAAGTCCACACCAAACCTCAGAGCATCCCACCCAAACCCATCCCTGTATAACCCACCTAATCTACACATCCCTGAATACTACGGGCAATTTAGCATGGCCAATCCACCTAGCCTGCACATCTTTGGACTGTGGGAGGAAACCGGAGCATCCAGAGGAAACCCACGCCGACACGGGGAGAATGTGCAAACTCCACACAGACAGTCACCCCAGGGTGGAATCGAACCCAGGTTCTTGGCGTTGTGAGGCAGCAGTGCTAACCACTGAGCCACCGTGCCGCTCCCTCCAAACACAGCAGTTCCACCATCTTCAATATGTTCTTCGAGTTCCACATGGTCCTTATCAGTTTACAATTCTTCCAACTTTAGTGTCATCTCACACTAAGATCTCGAACATGAATATAAATCAGAAAAATCAAGGGTCCCAATACTAACCCATAAAGAACTCCACTACAACCTTGTTCCGGCCTGAAAAGTATCCATTGATAATTACTCCCTGTTTTCTATCACTCAGCCAGTTTTCTATCCATGTTGCTACCAAACCTTTTATTCCATTGCCTCGAACTTTCCTTGTAGTCTGTTGTGCGGCACTGTACCAAATGCCTTCTGGAAATCCATGTATACCACATCAACAGCATTATCCTCACTGAGCCTTCCTGTTACTTCAAGAAGCTCCACAAGTTAGTTAAACATTATTGCTTAATCAACTCACCTTTTTACATTAACTACTAGTTCTATCCCAAATAAATGCGTCTAGAAGCTTCCTCAGTTAAAATGATTGGTCTGTAAATTCTGGGTTTATCCTTGCAAATCTTGTTGAAATTGACCAGAAGTTTTGCAATTTTCTAGTCCTCTAACATCCCCCAAAATCTAGGGAAGTGCCAGTGCTCCTGCAATTTCCATTCTCATCCCCTTCAAAATGCTTAGGTGCATCTCATCCAGTGGCAGTGCCTTGTCAATTTTCAGGATTAACAGCCTGTCCAATACTTCTGCCCTACTAATTTTGAATCTTTCTAGTGACTTAATCCCCTCATGTATCACCATGTCCTGCGTAGCAGCTCTCTCTAATTAGTGAAGACAGACGCAAAGTATTAATTTAACAGATCAGACATGGCCCCGCTCCATGGGTAAATCCTCTTTTAGGTCCACAATCAGCCCAATAAACTTCTTTTACCATTTAAGTGGCCATGGAAAACTTTAGGACACCTCTTTATATTTGCTGCCAGTCCTTTCTGATTATTCCTCTTTGCTTCTATTATTTGCTTTTGCACCTCCCCTCTGAACCTTCGATATACCTTTTTATCCTCAATTTTATCATCTTTTAACCTGACACTTGAAATAAGCGCACTTTTTCTTCTTTATCTTATTTTCTCTTTCATTTATCATTCAGGGCACTCCTGAATTGTTTAAGATCCTAAGACTGTTCTATCTTTCTGATTTGAGGGAACATAACTGGACTGCGTCCAAATGATATTCATTTCTAAGGCAGCCCATTGTTCAGTTACAGGTTTCCTGCAAATCCCTCATTCCAGTCAACTCTGCCCAAGCTCTGTTTTAGTCCTGCTGAAGTCTACTTTCCACCAACTTATTTTTCTCATTCTGGACTGTTGCATGTCAATCGCCACCATCATCCTGAACCTTACAATACAAGCATCACGATCTCCTGTTTCCCACATGACATTTGATCCACTTGGCCCACCTCAGTTCCAAGAACCAGATCCAACAGTGTTGTTGGGCTGGAAACGTACTGTTGAAGGAAGCGCTTTCGCACACAATCCAGGAACATTTGCTCTTTGCAGCCCTGTAGACTACAAATATCCCAGTTTACGGTTGTATAATTGGAAGTCTCGCATTATAATCTGGGCATTTCTCTGTAACTTCCTTGCAGCTTTGTTCTCCTACATCCTTTCCACTAGTCGATGATCTAAAGACTGTATGCAGCAATGCAACTGTACTCTTTTTGTTAGTTTAGTTCAAGCCAAATTGATTCTTTACCTGTAGCCACCAAGACATCCTCTTTCACCAGCACTGCAATGCAATTTTATTGATTTGGTTTAGCACTGTTCTGACCAATGGCTACGCTTGGTCAGCAGGAGGGAAATTGCACTGTCAACCAAATTAGGGAGTCCAGTATCCAGCTTTCAACTCAAAACAGCAGTTCAATTTCAAACATACATACAGTTGAAATATTAATTTATACACCCTCACACAATGATTTCAATTGGTGTTTATTACACTTCTAAAAGACAGAATCTCATCAACCCTTCAACTGATTTTTCTGCTTCACAGGGCAACGAAATAATCATTTCACTTGCAAACTGAACAAATTGAGAAGTTATAAAACCAAGTATAGCTGTAGTTCAAAAGTAAAGTATAAAAAAAAAGTGAACAAGTATACAGAAACTGGAAGTAATAGCCGATAACAGCCAAAAACAGAAGTGAAGCTTGGGGTTGAATGTCCTATCTATACCAACATGTGTCAAAAAGAGGAACATCAGGTTGACAATATCAGATATGCACAATATTTTGAAGACTCTAGGCTCTACTGATAACATCTTCAGCATTCTGTTAAGTTAAGGAATAGAATACTAATTTCACTTAAATGCAATCAACAGCTGATGCATTTAATCAAGTTAAATTATCTATTGTTTGCCATTATGGGTAGCAAAAAAGAAAAAAAAGAGCATCAAAAGTCAAACAATGGGCAACGTTTATCTCGTGTCAGATTTTCTAGGCAAAACAAAGAAACCGAGTCTTTCTTTTACTGACATAATACATTTGTCAGATTAGTGGAAAACAAGAAATTCTGAGAAGGATTTCACAGACTTGGTGGGCCAAAGGGCCTGTTCCTGTGCTGTACTGTTCTAAGGATAACCTTTGCCACTCTTAATTAATTAAATTACTGATGGAGAATCTAGATTTACATTTAAACAGTGAGCACTGACTATGGCATTCTTAAAATTGCACAGCACCAAAAACTTGGTACAAATTCCTTTCTTGAACAACATTTTCAATGGATGTAAAGCATAATTCAACAATCTGCATTAACTAATTTGCCAACAATACTGAAGTTAAAACATTTTGGTTTAGCTTTAAAAATCACTCTCAGAATATTATCACTTCAGTTAACGTTGCAAGCAAGTCTGCTGGACACATTCAATATTACAACCTGATTGTAGCTAATTGAAAATACAATTCTGCGTAAGATTGGAACAGGCAGCATCCTTTTTTTAAATAATATGGTCAGTCAAATATTAATGTTAGTTATTTTTAAGACAGGCATAGACACCTTCCCAAAAAAAAACTATGGGAAAGGATGTTCATGCATGTTGTAGGTCAAATGACCATGCCCTCACTGCAAAATTCTATGAGGTTACCAAATAAATTAGAATGCTTTCACCAGATAGCAAATTGGAAGTCTATATCACATAATTTACTTTGGGCATAGATCAGGTAAATTGAGGGGTTCTTGTACATGAAACAAAGTTAGCACACAGGTGCAGCAGGTAATTATGGCAGCAAATGGAATTTTGGCCTTCACTGCTAGAAGGTTGGAGTTCTAAACTAGCCTTACTTCGGTTGTGGGTAAAGTGTTGGAAAGGATTATAAGAGATAGGATTTATAATCATCTAGAAAGGAATAATTTGATTAGGGATAGTCAACACGGTTTTGTGAAGGGTAGGTCGTGCCTCACAAACCTTATTGAGTTCTTTGAGAAGGTGACCAAACAGGTGGATGAGCGTAAAGCGGTTGATGTGGTGTATATGGATTTCAGTAAAGCGTTTGATAAGGTTCTCCATGGTAGGCTATTGCAGAAAATACGGAGGCATGGGATTGAGGGTGATTTAGCGGTTTGGATCAGAAATTGGCTAGCTGTAAGAAGACAAAGGGTGGTGGTTGATGGGAAATGTTCATCCTGGAGTTCAGTTACTAATGGTGTACCTCAAGGATCTGTTTTGGGGCCACTGCTGCTTATCATTTTTATAAATGACCTGGACGAGGATGTAGAAGGATGGGTTAGTAAATTTGCGGATGACACCAAAGTTGGTGGAGTTGTGGATAGTGCGGAAGGATGTTGCAGGTTACAGAGGGACATAGATAAGCTGCAGAGCTGGGCTGAGAGGTGGCAAATGGAGTTTAATGCGGAAAAGTGTGAGGTGATTCACTTTGGAAAGAGTAACAGGAATACAGAGTACTGGGCTAATGGTAAGATTCTTGGTAGTGTGGATGAGCAGAAAGATATCGGTGTCCATGTGCACAGATCACTGAAAGTTGCCACCCAGGTTGATAGCGTTGTTAAGAAGGCGTACAGTATGTTAGGTTTTATTGGTAGAGGGATTGAGTTTCGGAGCCATGAGGTCATGTTGCAGCTGTACAAAACTCTGGTGCGGCCGCACTTGGAGTATTGCGTACAGTTCTGGTCACCGCATTATAGGAAGGATGTAGAAGCATTGGAAAGGGTGCAGAGGAGATTTACGAGGATGTTGCCTGGTATGGAGGGAAGGTCTTATGAGGAAAGGCCGAGGGTCTTGAGGCTGTTTTCGTTAGAGAGAAGAAGGTTAAGAGGTGACTTGATAGAGACATACAAGATGATCAGGAGAATTAGATAGGGTGGACAGTGGGAGCCTTTTTCCTCGGATGGTGATGGCTAGCACGAGGGGACATAGCTTTAAATTGAGGGTGATAGATATAGGACAGATGTCAGAGGTAGGTTCTTTACTCAGAGAGTAGTAAGGGCGTGGAATGCCCTGCCTGCAAAAATAGTAGACTCGCCCACTTTAAGGGCATTTAAATGGTCATTGGATAAACATATGGATGATAATGGAATAGTTTAGGTTAGATGGGTTTCAGATTGGTTTCACAGGTCGGCGCAACATCGAGGGCCGAAGGGCCTGTACTGCGCTGTAATGTTTTATGTTCTATGTTCTATGAATCCTTGTTACAACGTAGTGTTGGTGAGATCACACCTAGAGTGCTGGGTATACTTGTGATCCCCATAAATAAAGAAGTATATACTGGCATTGGATGCAGTTCAAAAGAGATTCACAAGGCTGATTTCAGACATGAAGGGGCTAGCTTATTGAGAACAGCTGAACAGGTTAGGCCTTCATTCATTAGAGTTAGGATGAAGGATGATCTTATTTGAACATACGGGATTCTGAGGAGGCTCCACTAGTGGGGGAGTCTCAAACCAGGGGTCCAGAGTTACAGAATAAACAGATGCCCCGTAAAACAGTGATGCAAGGGAATGTCTTCTCCCAGACAGTAGTGAATACCTGGAATTCTGTATCCCAGAGTGTTGTGGAGGCTAGAACTAAAGAGAAGGTAGATAGAGTTTTGAAATATCAGGAAATCGACAGCTATGCTGAGTTGGCATAAGGGAGGAGTTGAGGTCCGAGACAGAATCGGCCACAATCTTGTTGAATGACAGGACAGGCTTGGGAAGCTGAATGGCCTATTCCCGTTCCTATTTTCTATGTTCTTTTGCAAGAGTTGCAGTGTTCAAAAATTAATGAGGAATCTCACCTCTTTTTAGTGCATGCAATGCAGAGACATAGAGAGTCAGGTAACCCGGAGGCTGTGGTGATGAGTTAAACTCGAAATATCCAAGAACACCTGGCTGAGTCAGGGAAAAGAAGACATAAATTAAAAAAAAGTTCAAGAATGTTTCAGCAACTTTCACATGTTGACAAAACTTACAACCAAAACACCTGATTTGTACAACTGTGTCATTACTCCTATTAAAGTCAAAATGATTCATCCAGAGAGTCCCAGAACACATACTCCTGAATAAAATGTTGTCACGATTAACACAACACAAACAATCTTCTCTACTCAAAATAACTCATCAGATGAAGTTACATTGTGTAAACACGAGTTGCCAATATATCCTGCATTATGCCAAAACATCACTTGTAATGGGCCTAGTTTACCTTCACGTGCTCGTCAGAAAGTGTTTCTAAAAACAAAAAAGGGGTTTGCAGTCATAAAAGGCAAAAAAAGTTACCAGCGTACAACACCACAAGTGGCTTCAGCGAAACAATCTTGTCTTATTCATAATCTTGCTGGAAAGCACATGCCCAATATTTACAACCAAATTCTATTTCAGTTGGGCATAAAGTGTTAATCACAAACAAGTATTCGTGTGGAGATAGAGCTCAACTCCACCAGGTTGCTTCGGACATCTCTCAAGACAGGATATCCTCTATCCTCTTGACTCTTACAAGTGTACGCAGGCAATCTTGGAGACTAATCCTCATCTTTAAAGCCAAACCATACTCACGCAGGCAAAGAATTGATGACGTGTGGAGCGAGTGATTGAATCAAATGCGCAAAGTGCACCGGGAGTAAGATGAGTGCAGTGACTCGTGCCTATGATCTAACCACTCGGCAGCAGCAACAGGATTCTGAGGTCAAAGAATCTCGTCTGCCAGCAGGCTAGTCTGATCAGGCATGCACATCAAGTTCAGCAGTTACATGGTGCATCTGGGAGAACCTGGAAGTAGGGTCTTATGGTAATGGCTGTGCCCTTAACTCTGGGCTAGAAGGTCCAGATTCAAGTCCTACCTCAGGCTATGATAGCCTTAGGAGGTATATCATATCACGTCTAAAGAGACTGAAAGTAAGATGAAGGGGAGAAATATAACCAGTGCTAACAATTTCAGCATTTAAAAAGTTATTAAATGGGCTCAACCATTCTGGCAACCACAAAGCAAAGCCAGCCTAAAATGATAAGAAAGAGAAAGCAGAATACTGTAAATCCAAAATAAAAGCAAAAACTGCTGGAAATACTCAGCAGGCTATGCCAGCGTCTGTTCTAATGTAAGGCCTAGCCCTGAAAAGTTAATGTTATTTCTCTCCACAAGTGCTGCTATAAGCTGTTGGCCATTTCTTGGGGGAAAAAAAAACTTCAACAAGGGATAATATTTATTCATACAGCCCAGAAAATACAATAACAAAATCAGATAAATGCTTGAGTATTAAAAGAAATGAAATTCTCAATTAATGGAATCACCTCATGCCACCTCCACTCCAGTGAAGCTGCCCTCACACCTGTAACTTTTCTTTAAATCTGAAACACTTATTCTCTATAATTAGCAACCAGAAAGTAAAATTACACTCAGAAAAGTTACATCATTTTGCAGAAAAGCAGGCATTCTCCCATCTTCTCATTAGGGAAGGAATTTGACCACATATTGTTATTAAAAATAATTACAAATAGCCATCTTATTTAACTTGGATCTAAATCCCATACTTGAGATTATGCTAAGGATGGCACACCAGCAGAGTGGAACTCAAGACCAGACCTGCAACCTAAATGCTCTTTCTATGTCAGCAGCACGTGCTGTGACAATTTGAACAGCAGCCACTAAAGTAGTCTCCAGTTACACCAAGGACTCGTCACTAACTTACCATCAACACCACAGTAAAAACAACAAATACTGGAATCAGAGATAGTAGGAACTGCAGATGCCGGAGAATCCGAGACAACAAGGTGCAGAGCTGGATGAACACAGCAGGCCAAGCAGCATCATAGGAGCAGAAAGGCTGACGTTTCGGGCCTAGACCCTTCTTCAGAAATGGGATGACCCGTATGATGTGATACTTTGCCTAGCCTATACTGGAATCGCTCAGCAGGTCAGGCAGCATCTGCAAAGTGGAGGGGGGAGGTGGTGGTGTTGAAACAGACATGCAAGAAGGCATGGCTGCTCTCTCTCTCGCTCTCCACAGATGCTGCTCGACTTGTTGAGCATTTGTTTTTATTTCAGATTTACTGCCTCAACAGAATTTGCCTTTCCTTCAACTCAAACACCTGATGACTGATTTTTCAAACCAGTCTTATTTTCTTTCCGTTCACAACCTCCTTCCACTTTTGCACTTAAAGTTAGAATAAATATTGACACCATAAATCAACAGATAGATACAGGACAAGGGTGACAAGTGATCTGTATTTTGCTCAGACTAAATACTATAAAAAGGCGAGGACAGTGTGGTTGTTTGAAGAGACCAAATCCTTGACAACTTGATGAAACACAAAAACGACTGCAACAGTCAGTTCTAAGTAAAGGAAGTGTAGCCATGCAAACTTGACATTGGAAGGATTAAAGCTTTGAAGCCCCTTCTTCCTCCTTATCCTCTTTTCCATTCTTCCTTTTAAAAAAAAACAAACAAAACAAGCTTTCCTCTCTCAGTTCTCACTGGAGGGCAACAGATGACCTCCTGTGGAATTCATCAATTGCTCTTTCCATATGGCAAGTCAAAAAGTGGAAGGAGAGGGGAAAAAAAGAACAACTTTTGTGCAGGAAGACAGAAAAATATGGAGAACAAAAAGAGAAATGGTTGAGAGAGTGACAGCAAATGCATATAGAGTAGAGAAAAAAAAAATGTGCAACCTGCTTCTGCAGTGCCTGTGGCATCACAGCCATCCTTCCAACAGGATTCAAATCCCAACCCAAATGGAAAAATCATTGTCAGGTAAGGGTCTTCATTAGTGGTATGTCTGACAGCATTACATGCATAGAGCAAGTTCTTGTCTACTTCTAAAGCATTATGTGGTTTTAAAACATGATTTAAATTGAACCCTGCAGGCAGAGATTACCAATTTATTCAAATCAACATCTTTAAAGGAGACAGGGGAGCTTATTTTCATAGATTTTAAGAAGTTACTCGTGGGATAAGAGTGTAATTGGCAGTTAAGACTCAACCACATTGCTGTGGATCCTGGAGTCAGATGCAGGCCAGACCGTAAGGACAGCATATTTCCTTCCATAAAAGGACATTAATGAACTAGGTGGGTTTTTACAACAATGGTTATATGATCGGCATTGGGCCAGCTCTTTATTCCAGATTTTACTGAATTCAAATTTCGCTATCTGCCATGATGGGATTCAAGCCCATGTCCTCAGAACATTGGTCTAGGTTTTCTGGATTGCTAATCTAGTGACATTACCATTATGACACCACATTCCCTAATCACACAAAGCATTGCGTCCCATTGTACCCAAAAATGTCAACATCTTTCCCAATAAGATTAATGTCAGGTTCAAGTCTCACATGTACTAAAGGTTTCTCACAACATGTCCAAACAGGTTAAAATAATTATATATTGAAGAGATGCTGGATAATTATCCAGATGTTTGTTCTTATTAGATTGCCTGCATTCACAAATAAATATCAATAAATTTGAAAAAGTGCTTACTAGAAATCAAAGGTATAATCGCAGAGGAATATAGCACTTTCAATATCCTTTTATTCCTTTGTGATTATGATTTGTTTGTATGGCAGCTTGAGAGTGCTGATTAGCAGACAGATGTTCAAAATAGCAATGTGTCACAGGAGAAAAGCTACACCACTATAGTAAGTGTTTAAAACATCCTCATGTCAATTCAGTCAAATTGTGATACAATAGCAAGTAGAGGAATCAAAATAGAATTGACCAAGAGAACACACTTCTAAAAAGCTACAGTTCTGAAAACATTCTTCCAGATAATTACCATTATTGGTTTTGAAATGCTTAGAGTTAACTTGTTCACAGCGCTGAGCTTTCCGGAGTTGTTCTGAAGTAGTTTGGATTTCTAAAAAAGAACTTCATCGCTTTCGATTTGATTTGATTTATTGTCACGAGTACTTAAGTACAGTGAAAAGCTTTATGAGCAGTACAGACATATCATAGTAAGCAAGGACAAACAGATCATGGAGTGAAAAAGTACTTGGACAGAGGCATACAGATTATGTTGCACAGGGGCGCACTAGGAAAGATCAGCATGAGCAAGTTCAGCATTATTTGAAGTTAGAGTGTCCATTCATCAGTCTAATAACATCCAGGAAGAAGCTGTTCTTGAACCTGCTGGTGCATGTGTCAAGCTTCTGTATCTTCTGCCTGACGGAAGAGGATGTAGGAGAGCATTACCAGGTGGGATGGGACTTTAATGATGTTGGCAGCCTTTACGTGGCAATGAGCCATGTAAGTAGAGTCAGTGGATGGAAAAAAGTCGGCTTCTGTGATGGTCTGGTCTGGGCTGCGCACACAACCTTCTGTAGTTTACGGTCCTGGGCACAGCAGTTGCCATACCAGGCCATTATGCACCCAAACAGTGGTGCATCCGAAAAAGTCAGTGAGGGTCTGTAAGGACATGCCAGATGTCCTGAGCCCCTGAGGAAGATGAGGCATTGTTGTGTATTCTTGACTGTCACATCTACGCAAGTCTAGGGCAGGTTGTCGGTTATCGTCACTCGTAGTAATTTGACACTCCCAGCCCTCTCAACCTCAGCTCCATTGATGTAGATGGGGGCACATTCTCCTTCTTTCTTTCTGAAGTCAATGATCAGTTCTTCAGTTTTGTTGAGGGGGGTTGCATCACTGCACCACGTCACCAAGCTCTCAATCTCCTTTCTGTATTCTGCCTCATTGTTGTTTGATATCTGCCCTACCACAGTGGTGTTGTCAGCAAATTTGTAGATGACCTTTATTGGCTCAAAAGAAAGTACACAGGAAACTTCAGTAATTAATTTGTCAGAAGGGCAAAATGGCAGGGATCAGAGAATGTCAACTTGTGTCAAATCGGGCATTATTAGCCAACCAATCATGCTATCATCTCTGAAAACAGCTTGCAAGTTTGG